ATCATGTAATGCAATATATATGATGTATATTTGCTATATCAATACAAGGCCTTCTCCAAAGCAAGGGCCTCATTTGTAATCGACTGCAAATATTAGTGGATTCATTCAAATTGGGCCAGGCCCCGTGATTTTTTCCCCTTTTCAGGGGTTTTCCACGTAAAAAATCTGGTGTCTCTTATGAATGTTTCACCCCTTCTCTTATCTGCTTGTGTGCTGGATCTTCGTACAATGCTAATTAAGACGTTAAACCATATATTTCTCTACTGCCACGAATATTCCAGGAGGCAACACACACACACACACACACACACATATATATATATATATATACATTCTACACATATATGACTCAAACTCAAAACCTCTTGATTGATATTCAAAGCTCTTAATTAATAAATCAAAATTAGCTGTGGATATTATATCATAAAACATATATATCAAATATACATGCTAACCATGACTATGAGGGCATAATGCATTGAATTTCTTCAAAAGGCGAAAGCCCTAACAATACATCAAAAAGAAAACAACAACAGTAACACCATCACATTTCAACAATCAAACCCAACAGAACATCAAACAGTTCATGCAATAAAATTTAAAATCTTCCATACAATTATCGAAAAATGAAGATTAATAAATTGACGATCAATTAGATGCAGAAGCAGCGGCCCTAAAAGCTGCCCGCAAAACCTTACTAAACTCCACCAATTGGTCGACTTCAGGAATCACTTCCTTCACCGCATCACTGCTGGAGAAGCGCTCCGCCCATTTCACCAACCGTGGAATCTTCTCCTCATCCAAAAGCTTTATTCCTGCAATCTTCTCCGTTGCTTTCATCCAACCCAGATAGGAACCGAGGGCTATGTCAACGTAGCCGATGGTGTCGCCACCGAAGAAGCTTTTCCCTTCGCTACATTTCTCGAAGACCTCTTCCAGCTGCTGTAGAGCGGCGAACATTTGTTGCATCGCTTCCGCTTTAGTGGCCTCGTCGGCTTCTCCGAGAAGCACCGGAGTCTGCTTAGGTAGCTGCGTATGATTAAAAACACTTAATTAAAGAGTTAGACATTTTTTATTTTTCATAAACATTTTGGAATAGAAATTGTTCATATATAATAATACTCCTAAAATACAGAATATTATAAATAGAAGTATGATGTATAATTTAAATTATAAATAAGAATAATATTAATTAAAAAAAATAAAATAATAAGGAATGCACCAAACTGTATGACTTATTCAATGGAATGTATCATTCTGTTTGGCGCATTCCATTGAATGCGCCAAATTGTTTGACGCAATGCTACAATTGATACGACATCGTAAAATTATCTTGATCGGGCACGAATCTCGAGGCAAAAAAAAGCTAGTTGGAACTTTCAAAAATTAATTTCGGGAGCATATGATTTCCGATTTTAGCGAGCTTACAGTCAAACTGAGCGTCTCGGAAATACGAACCCAACGACAAAGATCACCCAATCCGAGCCTAAATGAGGTCCGAAACAAGGGTTCAAAGCGCTGTTGGAAAGTTCAAACCGCAATTTGAGTTAACAAACGGTCTCCGATTTTGACGAGCTATACTCGAATCAAACGGCTTCGACGAGACGAATCCAACGACCAAGATCATCGAATTCGACATCATTAAGGCCTTCAATGTCCAACGAACGGTAACATGATAAAGGATTCAATATCGGCCGTTCCATCAAACCACTCTCAATTCGCCTTGATCTCAACGTCTTTTACGGGCTATGCACTTCAGAAAAATTATAAATAGAGCCGTTTCTACAAACGGGGACTCAAGTGAAGAGAGAGAAGAAGAAGAGGAGAAAGGGGAAAAGGAGATTCCTCACCTCTTCGACCACCTGCCGGAGCTCTTTTGCACTTGAAGACGCGGACTTTGCCGGATTTTCAGGAAACATACAGGAATTCTGCACACTTCCATGGGATGCCTGAAATTCTTCAAGCAATTATAAAGAGAGTTCCTCCTGAGCCAAAACTCCCACCATAGTGTAGCCGTGGAGTGCGTTCACTCTGCTACAAAGACGTCGGACTTCTACCCGACGTGGACCTTCATACTTCTTCGTAGTTTCTACCGACGC